ACCGCTCTTCGCGAGAAGGAGAAGGGAAACTGGAAAGAGCTGACCGTCGATGAGAAAAAGAAGTGTAAGCATTGCCACCACTGTATCTGTGGCTCATATCTAATGGTCTGATCTATGGTATGACTTCGGGTCCAGTGTATCGGTACAGCTTCTGTCGGACGTACGCCGAGATGGAGGCGCCAACCGGCGAGTGGAAGTCCATCACCGCCGGAGTGCTGGCGATCGTGGCCTCTGCCTTCTGGCTCTATGTGTTGCTCAAGAAATACGGTAATTATCTCACGAATGGGTGTCCGATGGGCTGTAATGTACTGATTGTGTGTTTGCGTTGACCTGATGGTGCAGTGTATGGGCCGATGCCTGAGTCCACTTCCCTGGAGTGGCGTAAGAAGCAGAGGGATTGGATGATACTGTGGAAAGTGAACCCAATTGAAGGCATTTCATCCAAATATGACTACGAGAACAACAAATGGAAGGATTAGCCGAAGACTCGACTCAATGAAAGCAGAGCTAAAGATATTAATTAATTGTTTTCTGTATGTCTGTAATAATCCTTATATGAGTTCCACTTATTTGACTCTATGTTACGAATAAATGTATTGTTATTTTAGTTATAATAATAAGTAGTAATTGAAACAAAAGCCGTTTTTATCACAAAAACGTATTTCACTTAAAGCTCACACTTTTGATTAGATAAGAGCATTACTACCATTAAATGCAAAGTTAGATATATTATTGAAAATTAATTTTTAATTAATTATTTAAATATGTTTTTATTTGAATGGAGAATAAATAAATACGAATATTTGAAATTGTCTAATAAATAGTTTGGTGAATGAAAAAATGTAACAAAAAAAGCTCCGATGCCGGGAATCGAACCCGGGCCTTCTGGGTGAAAGCCAGATATCCTAGCCACTAGACCACATCGGATTGGTTGTTCATCATTGCCTGTATATCCGAGTCAATTGTATGACAGTATACGACACTTGTATGAAGTGATGGAAACAGAATTGATCTCTAAATTCATCTCAAGTTAGACACTATTTGTTTGTTTGGGTTTTGTTTTTACCAAAAGTGTGTCGTTTATACCGTTTATATGTTAAGCACTTTTTCCATCATATATATAGCCATAGGACTTGTTTATTACAAGTGACTGTTTGCATGAATGCCAACAACTGATTGCTATTCAAGAATATACACACTATTCCTTGCGCTGTACTACAAGTGAATTAATATTCAGTGCACAGCCTTTCGCCAGTATATCACACAATATTGTCATTAATATTGCGTCAATTTGTTTGTCATTCACTTAACTCTCATGTGATCTCAAGAATTAATTAATTGAAAACATATTTTACGAGTTTTAGTGTTTGATAGTGTGGTGTGAATGGTGTAGAGTTCGCCCACATTTGCCAAACACTTGAAAGTATGGCAAACAGAATATATGAATATGTGACAGCCTTTTATGAAATGAATGCAATGTTTGGACTCAATTGCATAAGTCATAAGTCTGTATACATTTGTTGTGTTCATAAGCCATATACCAAATTACAGTGAATTACTTGTATTACAAGCCTTTGTACTCAATATTAGCATGTATTGAATGTCAAGGCATCACAATCTTATGAAACATTTAATTCAAACCGATTCCACATATGAACATACAAGTGGCAATAAATTGACTTGCTTATTTTTTATAATTATTCACAATGAATTGAAATATTTATTTTGAAACAAATCACCATTATTTGCAAATTACAAGAATATCTGGTAATCATTAGACAATCAATACTATGAATACTACATTTGGATTAATATTTAATATATATTATGCGTCAAGAGTTGGCAAAACAGCAAATCATGTGATTTTTATTGACAAATAACAAGAATATGTGAAACAGTGTTGATATTCTTGATATGAATACTACTTTTTATAGTCAATAATACGTTTTCATAAAAATTTGTTTCTTTTTCTACTCGAAAATCCTTTTAAATAAATACTTTAAAAAAGAGAAATCAATTTAAACGAACTGATAGTATATACGAATGTATAATAAATGTGATGAATGGCAAGACCTGTACCTACGAGGCAGTGGTGGATGTGAGCCCACACTAAGACAGCACCGCCACAGAGCACCGCCACTACAGTGCTGTTACAGTGTGTGCCTA